TTATTAATAGTTTGCAAGTAATTGAAATGAAGCATATAGAGCATTAATGACGGACATGAAAAGCAGCAATTGAGAAAAGTGTCATATTCTAAATACATTTAGGGCAGCATGGCAAACTACAAAACAGCTAAATTTAACAAGTAAAATAATATACCAGGATGTTGACGCAGATGTTTAGGTAAGCTTTTGAAAATGGCAGATATGTTTAAAGAGAAATCTGAATCAAATGCTGTGCAAGTCGTAAAATAAAATAAACTGCAGGAAACAAAATTCCAAGCTGCAGGAAAAAGATTCTATATACACACAAACACATAGAACATTGTTGTTGGCATACAACACAGGTATATACAAGAAAAAACCACAGATAAAAAGAAAACATACTTTAAAGTTACAAATCTCAAGGATAAAATTTGCAACAGTCCCACAAAAGAGTGCCTCAGAGTTGTTCAAAAGATATGGAATTTTATAACACCTTTGCCATTGAAAATACTGTGAAAAAACGCAACTCCTGTATTTCATCCATATATGATCGTATTTGGAACAAACAAAGAATGATGAAGTGTTTCAATAGGGACCAAGTTACAAGAACAAACCCTTTTGGAACCTTCCACTTTTTTATATCTCCTATCTAAAGGAGCTGATGGCAACACATTACATCTTGCAGTCGCCAAAGCCCTTCTCTGGGAGGGATTAATCAAAATGTAAAGATATACTGACATGATTCCACGTTTGCATGAAATTAATGATGTGGTAGGGAGCAAGTTGTCTTTGCTGCAAGAGTCAGGTTATGGAAGTCAAGATCCAAAAGTTTGCTCCTGGCTGAAGCCCCTTCTACACAGTTGTATAAAATCCCACATTTTCTGCTTTGAGCTGGGTTATATGGCAGTGCGGCCTCAGATAACCCAGTTCAAAGCATGGGATTTTCTGCCTTGATATTCTAGGTTACATTTATTATTTATTTATTTATTTCATTCACTTATACCCCGCCCTTCTCACCCCTAGGGGGACTCAGGGCGGCTTACATAGAGGGCACAATTAGATGCCCAAATCACACAACAAGTAATCCAAAAAATATAAAATTCAGCAGTTAAGTTAAAACAACAATACATAATAAAACATAATCCTAAAAACAATCTCATGTCAGAGTCCATATGTCAGAGCCATACATCCATTCTATTCCGTTTGTCCTTGTCTGTCGCCGGTCCTTGATTTAGTTATCAGAGTGACCAAAAGCTTGGTCCCACATCCAGGTCTTTAGTTTTTTCCTAAATGCTAGGAGGGAAGATGACAGCCTAATCTCCCCGGGGAGTGCGTTCCACAGGTGGGGGGCCACCACTGAGAAGGCCCTGCTCCTCGTCCCCGCCAGCCTCACTTGTGACGCTGGCGGGGTCGAGAGCAGGGCCTCCCCAGAAGATCTTAAACTTCGAGGTGGGACGTAGAGGGAGATCCGTTCGGACAAGTACATGACTGTGTAGAAGGGCCCTAAAGTATTTCCAAAGACAGGCCAATTGATTCAATCTTTCTGAGAATCAAATAATATTGTTCTGAAATAAAATGATCTAATAACAGAAAGGGAACATAGCTATCAAGAGGCCCAAGCAGATCCTATACCCCAGGATCTGATCCCAGGTTTTCTGTTTATCCCAGATTATCTAGCAATATGGACTCATATAATCCATTTTAAAGCCTGTCTAGAAGGGCCCAAGGTCTGCTTGAAATATGCAGAATTTTATAGCTCTCTTGAAACCTTGGCATGGATGAAAAAGTGGTTTGACCTCTCTCAATGCATTGAACGGTGTAAGGCACACATAAAGGGTCCTTCCACACAGCCATATAGAATCATAGAATAATAAAGTTGGAAAAGACCACATGGGCCATCAAGTCTAACCCCCTGCGATGCAGGAAAAACACAAAGCACCCCTGACATATGGCCATCCAACGTGTTTAAAAGCCATCAATGAAGGAGCTTCCACCGGACTCTGAGGCAGAGAGTTCCACTGTTGAACAGCTTGTGCAGTCAGGATGTTCTTCCTAATGTTCAGGTGGAATCTCTTTTCCTGTAATTTGAACCCATTGCTCCTAGTCCCAGTTTCAAGGACAGCAGAAAACATGTCTGCTCCCTCTTCCTTGTGCCACTCTTTCAGATATTTATACATGGTTATCATATCTCCTCTTAACCTTCTCGTCTACAGGCTAAACATGCCCAGTTTCTTAAATATGATCATCATAGGGCATGGTCCACAGACCTTTGATAATTTTAGTTGCCCTCCTCTGGACACCTTCCAGTTTGCCAATGTTTCTTTTGAACTGTGGTGCCCAGAATTGGACACAGTATTCCAGGTGAAGTCTAACCAAAGTAGAATACAAAGGCACCATGACTTCCCTCAATCTAGACACTAAACCCATTTTGATGCAGCCCAAAATCCCATTGGCTTTTTAAGCTTCTGCATCACACTGCTGGCTCATGTTCAACTTGTTATCCAGGATAACTTCAAGAGCTTTCTCACATGGACTGCTGTCAAGCCAGACACCTCCCATGCTGTATCTTTGCATTTCACTTTTTCTGCTTAAGTGTAGTATCTTACATTTGTCCTTGTTGAAATTCATTTTCTTAGTTTTGGGCCAGCTCTCTAATTGGTTAAAGTCATTATGATTTCTGATCCTGTCCTCCGAAGTATTAGCTACCCCTCCTAATTTGGCATCATCTGCAAACTTGAGAAGTATGCCCTCTAAACCGTCAGAAAATCCCACTTATCTGCTTTGAACTTGGTTATCTGTGGGCCCTTCCAGACAAGCCCTATATTGCAGGATCTGCTCCTTTAAACTGGATTATATGACTCTGCACTGCCAGATAATCTGGGATAAACAGAAAACTGGGGATCGGATCTTGGGGTATAGGGCCTGTCTGGAAAAGGCCTGAGCACACACTGCTGTATATTCCAGTTCAAATCAGATACTGTGGGATCTTATTCAGCTGTGTGGAAGAGGCCTTAGGGAGTCCCATTCGTTTCCGGAGAAACTTGAAATGCAAACATTAGGAAAAACTTTTTGACAGGAAGAGCTGTTCAGCAGTGGAATACACTGTCTGGGACTGTTATGAAGTCTCCTTCCCTGGAGATTTTCAAGCATAGGTCAGTTGGCCATCTGTGCTTTCAGTGTGTGTTCCTGCATGGCAGAATGAGGTTGATCTGGATGGCCTTGCAGGAGCCTCTTCCAACTTGATTTGAAAGCAAGAGGATAAACAAAAAAGCAAGCAAGAAGCAGCGTAAGGCAGCATGCCTTTTCTGGCATTGGAATGAATGCTCCAGGCGTGGGCAAAGAAAGAGCACGCATACAAAACAATAAGGAAGCCCTGACTCCTCATTCATTTCAAGACCAGACTCCTATAATTACTAAAAAGTGCCTTGCTCTTTGAGGGTCAGGCCCTTTCCACACAGCTGTATAATATCCACACTGAACTGGATTATTACACATGGCACATCTTCACTCATATTTTGAAATGTAAAAAGTTACAAACATACCTAACTAAATAATAAATAATATTTTAAAAAATGAATATGTGTGTGTGTGTTAAGAATCCTTAAACCACTATGCAGGTGTGGACTCCGATAATCCAGTTCATTTTTTCAACTTTTTATTTATTGTAGCTTTAACATATCCAGTGTTTAAACATTCTTATCTTATGACTTCCCATTAACAAATTGTACAGAACATGTATGTCTTGATACCTATAATATTTCATATTCCTGCTTCATTACATATTGTCCAATCACCCAGTGCTGACCCTTCAGCCAATTACAATGCTTATTTCCAAAAATCAGTTGTTTCTATTACAGGTATGGTCCCCTTACCTTCTATATATACATATTCTATCAATTTCCCCCAAATCTTCCCAAAATAATCTTTTTTTTGATCATCCTCTTTTAACCTTAATGTTTCCTGTCAGTTTATCGTTTATTGCAATGTCCCAGATCTCCCTATACCACTCTTCCAATTGGAACTCCCCTCCTTCTTTCCATTTTCCAGTTCAAAGCAGATATTGTGAATTATCTGCCTGGATATTCTACGTCAGGGATCTTCAAACTTTTTAAACAGAGGGCTGGGTCACAGTCCCTCAAACTGTTGGAGGGCCGGATTATAATTTGAAAAACACATGAATGAATTCCTATGTGCACTGCACATGTCTTATTTGTAGTGCAACCAACACTTAAAACAATGCAATAATTAAAATGAAGAACAATTTTAACAAATATAAACTTATTAGTACTTCAATGGGAAGTGTGGGCCTGTTTTTGGCTGATGAGATAGGATTTTTGTTGTTGCTGTTGTTGTGTGCTTTCAGACTTAGGTTGATCCTGAGCGAGGGCCGGGTACATGACCTTGGAGGGCCGTATCCGGCCCCCGGGCCTTAGTTTGAGGACCCCTGTTCTACGTTATATGGCTGTGTGGAAAGGCCCTGAGTTCAAACTGCCATATATTCCAGTTCAAAGCAGGAAAATGTAGGGTGTTATTCAGATGTGGAAGGGGGCTCAGATAACCCAGTTCAAAGCACATATTGTGGATTATCGGCCTGGATATTCTACGTTATATGGCTGTGTGGAAAGGCCCTGAGTCCACACTGCCATATATTCCAGTTCAAAGCAAGAAAATGTAGGGTGTTATTCAGATGTGGAAGGGGGCTCAGATAACCCACTTCAAAGCAGATATTGTGGATTATCTGACCCGATATTCTGTGTGGAAGGGCCCTCAGATCATGATTCCTCCACCAGAAGCCTTTAGAAATGAGTCTGAAGGGGGAAATGCGACAGTTTGTAGGCCACAGAGCCCCCCATTTGGGATAAGGAGAAGAAGAAAGGACTGTCTATGGAAGGATGCACAGAGGCCTACTTTTTCACTGCGACCCCACGAGGCCTGCCCGGCTGAGGGGAAACCAGGCACAACGACTAAGGGAATAGGCCCACGTTCCTTCACAAGCCCTCCACACAAGCACACACACCAACCTGGAGACGGCCATGGCAGCAGAGAGACGGGGCCGGGCCTAGCCGAGCAGGTCTGACAGGAAAGAGTGGGGCCAAGGCCTGGCCTGGGCCTGAGGGGTCCACAACGAAACGGGGCGGTCCCCAGAGGCGGCGGCCCGAGCCCCCCTCCACCCTCCTTGCGCCTGTCCCAGCGACAAAACCCCGAAACACGACCCGCGCGGGGAAAAGCCTCTATTCCTCCATCACCAGGGAGAAGCCCGACGCCTGGTTTTATATGAGCAGCCATCTTGTATTTATTCCCTTCCTCCATGGAAGCCGCTTCCTGATTGGCACGGACGCGAAGCCGCAGCCAATCGCGTCCCGCCTTTGAAGCAGAGCGCGGGGGCGGGGACAAGCCTCCGCGAGACCCCGCTGAGGAGGAGATGATGGCGGCCGCCGCCTCCTCCCTCCTTCCCCTGAGCAGGGCAGGGCTGTACCATTTGCACACCGAGGCAGGGGGGGATTTAAACATACCGATGCCTTTATTGGACTTTAGTAGCAAATAGATATAAAGAAATTGGCCGGTATTCGTTCCTTGAAATTCTCCGAGCACGTTTAATCTAAAACAATCCCCCGGCTGCATTAATCCAAAGGATAAATAATACGCACACAATGGAACGGCCCTTGAGGCGACACGCGGTGCCTCCAAGTCTACAAGCGCTTTGACTACAAGTCCCGGCGTCCCTTGCGTGGCCCGCTTCCTCTTCTATTTTCGCCTTATGGAAACAATTAAACCTAATCTGGGTTCTTTGAGGCCAAGTTCACAGTGACGTAAACAGCTATATATGGGTATGAAGCGATTCTCAATCCCGAATTGTTTGTTGATGATTCCATTCGTTTTAAAGGCTAGACAATGTCTTCTGACACACAGCTGTATAAAATCCACGTTGAATTGGATTATATAGCAGTGTGGACTCAGATAATCCGGTTCAAAGCAGATATTGTGGATAATAATAATAATCCCCATTATCTGCTTAACTTGATTATATGCCCCATCCACCCTGCCATATACAATCCAGATTATTTGATTTGAACTGGATTATATGGCAGTATAGACTCAGATAATCCGGTTCAGAGCAGATACTGTGGATAATAATAATAATAATCCCCATTATCTGCTTAAATCGATTATATTGCCCATCCACCTTGCAATCCAGATTATCTGATTTGAACTGGATTATATGGCAGTGTACTCATATAATCCAGTTCAAATCAGAGAATGTGGATTATCTGCTTGGATTTTATGGCAGTGTAGAAGGAACCTAAGTCTATACTGCTGTATAATCCAGTTCAAAGCAGATTTTATATGGCAGTGTAGAAGGGCTCCTATGTATGTAATGGGAAATTTTGACGACTGGGCCCAAGTCTAAAAACAAAATTAGTTTATGCTTGATATACACTTTATATACATAGCCGAGGGCAGCTTTATACACAATATTTTTAATCAAATTGTGTGTGAAACAGGATTTGTGTACATTGAACAGAAAGCAAAGGCGTCACTATTATAGGCCCCTTCCACACAGCTGTATAAAATCCACATTGAACTGGATTATATGGCAGTGTGGAAAAGTCTTCAGCCACTCATGTAGGCAATTTCAGATTTTGAGAGTATTTTGGATTCCAGAAAAGTATTAACTTTCAGATTCCAGAAAAGTAAAAACAGGAAAGTCAAGCAGCTAAATATACACAGTGGAAATAATAATAATAATAATAATAATAATAATAATAATAATACCCCATGTAGTGACGTAGACAGACTTTACTTGCCCAGAAAATCAGGAGGCAGAGGGCTTCTGCAAGTGAAACAAACGGAAGAAGAGAAACATGCGCTGGCAGATTATGTGAAACATTGAGGGAAGTCAGTAGTAGTAAACTGCTTCAAGTGCAAAAGACAAAGAGTGAATACCGTAAAAACACAATGCAGAGCAGAAGAGAAAACTGGTGAAAGAAGGCTCTCTATGGACAGTTTCTGGGAAAATTGAGAGCAAAATTGACAAGGTGGGACCGAGAGCAGGGCCCCCTCCAATTACCACAGTGTTCATGTAGGCTTATATTCAGAGGTGAGATTAGTTAAGTAGCCTAGACCCAAAGTGTTAAAATCACTAAATGGTAAAGCTGCTACACTGGCCCCTTCTACACTGCCATATAAAATTGAGATCATTTGCTTTATATGGCAGTATATTATTATTATTTATTATTAAACTTTATTTGTACCCCACTAGCATCTCCCGCAGGACTCAATGCGGCTTACAAAGGCCAAGGCCTCAACACAACAACAGCAAAACAATAACAGTACAATTTAAAGCAAATTAAAAACATAAGCAATAAAAAACAATACATCAATTACACAGTAAAAACCAGGGCCGGGCCAGTGATGGGTACAAGTTAAAAAGTGCTGGGTGTGACTGGTGGAATTTGGATTTCTGGGCAAGTGCAATGTGCAGAGAGTCTTAAACTCTAATAAAGTGCTTCTGGGACGTAGTGCTGGAGATTATCCTATTCCGGAAAGGCAGTATAGACTCGTATAATTCAATTTAAAGCAAATAATGTGGATTAATATATGGCCAACCCCCTTCTACTCTGCCACATGGAATTGGGATTGTAAGGTTAAGTAAATAAGATACATTATCTCGAGTGAAAATGTAAGTGGAATTTCATTATTGAGATTCGTATTACTCTACTTATGTTAACAATAATGAAAAAATCCCTCTATAAAATGCTATCCCAATAACAATTGTGATGGCATGCAGCCACCCTGAAGCCCCCATAATTGAGGAACATAATGGCAGCCGGGTGATTTTTTTTTTACTTTTTAGCGGTTATTTTGGGGTTTGGGGAAAGGGGGTGGGTGCCCTCTTGGTTTTTCAGGCTCCTGGAGCGTCACACAGTCCCCCAAGCCCAGTCCACACAGGACCCACACATGGTAAGGTGTTTAATTAATTCAGTTTTATCAGCATTGTTTGGATGCCTCTGATAAAACTGAAACAGGTCTCGGTTTTTGGGCCTGTTAGGATGGACCCTGAGTCTCCTTTGGGAAAGAAGAAGCAGGATATAACTACTACTACTACTACTACTACTACTACTACTACTACTAATTGTTCTTCTTCTTCTTCTTCTTCTTCTTCTTCTTATTATTATTATTATTATTATTATTTCAATAGATAAACTATTGGATTCATCCCCTATTTGTACCAAAGGACTTTGACCTGTCCCTGGTCTTAGAATGTAGTGTTAATAAAGATGATAGTTTCAAAAATAGATCTTAACAGATTAAGCCAGACTTGTGTGCATCATGAAAGTGTGGTTAACCATTATTTAGGAAACATAAGATGTGGTCATGAGATGATTCCTCAGTGATGAGTAACTAGTAAAAACAACTGCACATTCACTGTCTAAAAGCCTCACCATTGTGAAATATTGTATCCTATACTCTTCACAAGGGGAAATGACATCTGTCTATTGAGTCATCTTGCTGATTAATCAGTTCTCTTACTGGTTAATGCATGTAAATGTTCACAACAAGCATATACCTTTCTCACGATATGAAATCTAATGTGGCTCTAACACAGATTAAAATAAAACAAAGCTAAAATTCAATAATTGTTTTTAAAATTGTTTTTAAAAATGACACTTATTTAAAATGGTCTAAACACATTTGAAACATAATAATTAGGATCAAACTACACATGATTCCCATTCCTTCAAAGCAGGAGTAGGAATTATTCGACCTTCCAGATGCTGGATTGCCATCCAAATATTTCTTATTATTTACTTTGTGGGGTAGGGTTGCTCAGGTTTGCAGTCCAACAAGATCTGGAGGGTTGCATAATTCCAGCCCTTGCTTTAATAAACATTGTCACTAATAATTAGAAGCATAGTACATTACCACAATCAAAACAGCTGTTACAATGCTCTAATATGCTTGAGGTATGAGACTCTCTACTGCTCTAATGACACATACACATAAGTGAAAACTAATAAGACTATGTAACACAGTTTTTGTTCCTCGATTATAAATATCTTTTCCTAATTGCTTCTGTCATAAAAACACAAAAAAGGTTTGTTAAACTGCAGAAACATTGTTTTGAGGGACATCCTGCTGCACATTTTGCTATAGTTTTTCAATGAATATCTTGTAGAGTCTCGATCAATTCAACAGAGTTTATGACAGCCATAAAAACAAAGTTTCTGGAGTATAACAACTACTTTCAAAGTAAATACTGCATAGTTAAACAGGAAATAATACTTTCAAACCAGGAACAGATTTCCCCCCAAATTTTGTTGCATAGTGTGATTTAGGTAACCACCTCTACTTCATTTCTCTCAATATAAAACACTAACTGTCCCCTGCCACGTGTTGCTGTGGCCCAGTCTGTTGATCTGGAAAATAAAGTAATGAGAAAGTGTTGGTTTCTAATATATGTAATTTCTTTATGCTTGTGGGTAAACAGTATTTCTTGCTGTTTCTTTGTTAGTGTTGATGTGAAGAGTGTCTGGTTTGCCTACTCTGGAATATGCAATATATCATTGTCCTTCTTTAAGGGTCCCTTTCAAATCTATGATACTATATCTGTGTGTGTGTGTGTGTGTGTGTGAATCATGTCTATCTGTCTGTCTATCTATCTATCTAGCTATCTATCTATCTATCTATCATCTATCTATCTATCTATATCTATATCTATGGCTGTATGGCTCTTTGTCAGGAGGACTTTGATTATGTTTTCTTGTCCTGGTAAAGGGAGTTGGATTGGATGGCCTTAAGTATTTTCTATTGGTCATGGGCGTTCTGTGTGGGAAGTTTGCCCCGATTCTGTCATTGGTGAGGTTCAGAATGCTCTTTGATTGTAGGTGAACTGTGAATCTCCCAAATGCCAAGGTCTATTTCCCCCAAACTCCATCTGTGTTCATATTTGGGCGTATTGAGTGCTTGTGCCAAGTTTGGTTCAGATCCATCATTGTTTGAGTCCACAGTGCTCTCTGGATGTAGGTGAACTACAACTCCCAAACTCAAGGTCAATGCCCACCAAACCCTTCCAATATTTCTGTTGGTCATGGGAGTTCTGTGTGCCAAGTTTGGTTCAATTCCATCGTTGATGGAGTTCAGAATGCTCTTTGATTGTAGGTGAACTATAAATCCCAGCAACTACAACTCCCAAATGGCAAAATCATAATTTTTTGAGTGATGGTCACTCCATATGTTGTGAGACTTTTGTTGCCAAATTTGGTGTGATTTCGTTCATTGGTTCTTTTGTTTTTAAGGTACTCATTATGCACAGAGCATTTATCTATA